CATTATGATAGAGAACATTATAAATTATCCCTATGGGGCATAAGATAATTCTATGGATAGTATCATTAATTGAGAACTTCCTGAAGTCCTGGTGGCATAGTGGTTACATGTTGGATGGCTCACCACAAGATTAGCAGTTCCGGAGAAAGATGAGGCTTTCTATTCCAATAAAGAGTTACAGTGTGGGAAACCTGTAAGAGTAGCTCTTGCCTGTTTTGTAGGGTCACTATGAGTCAGAATCAAATCATTGACATAGAATCAACTCAATGGTAACTTTATTGAAAATCTAACTTGCACAGCAAACTATACTCCAATACAACCATTTCGACATGTGTAGTGTAGAACTTAGTGACGTTAAACATTTTTTGAGTTGTCCTACCATTTTCACCTTCTCTGCGTTATTAGCATAACTCAGTGCTGCTTCAGATTCTTATCGTAATGTTTTGAGTTACTGTTTTCAATATGATCCCATTTAGATAGATCTTTAAGAAGCAAAATGCCCAAGGTAACCTTCTTACTAGTTAAGCTAAACCGTTGTTCAGTTTTAAGATTTCAGCCAGTATCTAAATCTTTAAGATTTAAAGATTATCTTAGGGCAATAGTTTGAGTGGTTCATATACTCTCTGACAATAGAAAGTTTAGAGTCTCCGAGGATTTTAAATACTAGTATGCATTTCCCCCCCTTATAATCAGGATTCTTCTGTGGAATCTTTGACAAAATGTTCAATAATAGTAGCCAGGTAGCATCCAAATCTGGTCTCATGGCAAAGGAGGACAGAGTAGCTACACATTCTATATGTTCTTATTGCTGGCTCTCCTTCTTCCTCTGTTCCAGGTCAATTGAGAGAATTTTTTTTTTTTTTTTTTTTTGCCTTGGATAGCTGATTGTAAGTTTTTAATACCTTAGACACTACACAATGAACTCGATGACAGAACAGCAGCACTAAACAGGTTATTAGGCTAATTAACTATGGGCACTTTGGTTACTTGAAAGTCTTTTAGATATCAGTACATTATAGAAGAGGAAAATGAATTGGCTCCAATGTAACTAACAGCTCTCCCTCACTGCCCATTCTGAGTTTCATTGCAATTAAATTGTGTAAGTTTAATGTGATACGAGAATATTCAGTGCGACAATAGGACAGGAGAAAGACAATACTTTCTACTCCTGTTAAGAGCTACAGTCTCACACAGGAGCAAATGAAGGGGGAGGAAGAGAGAGTGGAGCACATCCTGGTCCACAAAGCCTTGAGGATGATATCCCTGCTCAGAGCAGGCAATGCACAGAGAGGACCATATGGCCAGCTCCATTACAAGACAAGACATCCCTCACTGACCCATAACCCTATGGGGGACAACACTGGAAACACAGTGCAGAAATTGCTCCTGATCTGAACCCACCACACCAAGGCAAAACACTAAGGGTGTGCAACAGAACAGCAAGCGGAGCAGAGCAAGGAAGTCCTGAGGGTATACCAAAAATAGACTTTGAGGCCAGGACATGGCACTCCATCAGACTTGACCGGAAAACACTGCGAAAGGTCAACAAACAAACAGTGAACTATTTACAGACTTTTTCATTTTTTGTCATTGTTTTTTGTTGTTTTGTTTTTTTTCTTTCGTTCTTTGTTTTGCTCTGCCTTGTTTTTTTTGGTGCATATTATTATATCTGCAGGTCTATCTAGATAAGAGGAAAGATAAACAATCTGGAAGAACAAACAACAGAACCATGGTTCCTGAGGACATGGGAGGTGGGGAGGCAGGGGAAAGGAAGTGGGTGTCAATAAACCCAGGAGCAAGGGAACAACAAATGAACCAAAATTGATGGCAAGGAAGGTTTAGGAGGCCTGGTAAGGCTTGATTAAGGGCAATGTAACCAAGAGGTATTACTGAAACCCAATTGAAGGCTGAGCATGATAGTGGGACAAGAGGAAAGTAAAAGTAAATAGAGGAAAGAACTAGGTGACAAAGGGTATTTATAGAGGTCTAAATACAGGCAGGTACATATGTAAATGTATTTACATATGATGATGGGGAAATAGATCTATGTGCATATGTTTATAGGTTTAGTATTAGGTAGCAGATGGACATTGGGCCTCTACTCAAGTACTTCCTCAATGCAAGAACACTTTGTTCTATTAAACTGGCTTTCCATGATGCTCACCTTCCCAACATGATTGCTGAAGACAAATGGGTGCATAAGTAAATGTGGTGAAGAAAGCTGATGGTGCCCGGCTATCAAAAGATATAGAATTTGGGGTCTTAAAGTCTTGAAGGTAAACAAGCAGCCATCTTGCTCAGAAGTAACAAAGGCCACATGGAAGAACCACACCAGCCTGTGTCATCACGAGGTGTCGAAGGTATCAGGTATCAGGCATCAAAGAACAAAAAATCATATCATTGCGATGAGGGGGAGTGTGGAGTGGAAACCCAAAGCCCATCTGTAGGCAGCTAGACTTCCCCTTACAGAAGGGTCATGGGGAAGAGATGAGCTAGTCACAACTTTCCCCTAGTTCTGTAATGCTTACAGAAGGGTCATGGGGAAGAGATGAGCTAGTCACAACTTTCCCCTAGTTCTGTAATGCTTCCTCCCCCCACCCCCCCACTATCATGATCCCAATTCTACCTTACAAATCTGCCTAGAAAGGATGTACACTGATACAAATAAGAACTGGAAACACAGGGGATCCAGGACAAACCCCTCAAGAACAATAATGGGAGCAATTCCAGGAGGGTAAAAGGAAGGTGGGGTAGAAAGGGGGAACCGATTACAAGGATCTGCGTATAACCCCTTCCCTTGGGGGATGGACAACAGAAAAGTGGGTGAAAGGAGATGTTGGACAGTGCAAGACATGACAAAATAATAATTTATAAATTATCAAGGGTCGTGAGGGAGGGGGGAAATGAGGAGCTGATGATACCAAGGGCTTAAGTGGAGAGCAAATGTTTTGAGGATAATGGTGGCAACAAATGTATAAATGTGCTTGACACATGGATGGGTGTATGGATTGTGAGAAAAGTTGTACGAGCCCCCAATAAAATGATTTTTGTTTTAAGTTACTGTCTTAGAAACTCACGAGGAGTTTTACCGTGTCCTGTAGGGTCCCTGTGAGTTGGCTCCAACTCGATGGCAGGGAGTGATTTGACACACGGAGAGAGACCCCAGGTGGCACAGTGAAGCACTGAACTAGTGGTCCAAAAATTGGCAGTGTGAGCCTACCTGGTGGCACTTAGAACAGACCTAGTGATTTGTTTCTAAAAGTTGACAGCCTTAAAAGTGCCCGGTGCAGCTCTACTATGCACCTCTGTGGTCACCGTGAGTGGAAATTGCTTCAAAGGAAACTAACAACATGACACTAGAAAACAAATATAAATAATTTTAATAATATAACCTTCTCTTTTTTGAATTCTGAATAACTCTTGAAATTTAAAATATAGAATTTTATAATATCCATTTTTTTATCTGTTCAGTAAGAAATTACTATATAAAACAATCCTGAGACAATGACAACTCAATTGAAAAAAAACCAGAAAATAACATTTGCTGGTAAGGATGAAGAAAATTTGTACCTCTCATACCCTGTTGGTGTGTCTTTAAATATGTACAACCATTATGGAAAGCAATTTGGTGCTATCTGAAACAATGGGAATAGAAATCCCATATGATCTAGCAATACCTCTGCTTGGCTTATATCCTAAAGAGTAAGATACATAACATGGACCAATATATACACTACGGTGTTCATCACAATACTGTTCACAGTAGCAGGAAGGGGGAAAAATCCCAAATGCCCATCACTTAAAGAATTAATAAATAATATTTAATACAGAAAAGGCGGTACCCCCCCCCCCCAAAAATGATGCTTATTTGTTTTTTGATGTGAGGGAGACAGTGCATGTGGAGTTTGTTCCCCAGGTCAGACTGTTAATCAAACTTTCTATTTAGAGGTTCAGAAAAGATTGCATAACTGTGTGCCACAAAACTGGCCTGATTGCATAACGGTGTGCCACAAAACAGGCAGACTGGTTTTGCCACCATGACAATGCACCTGCTCACAGCCATCTCAGTGCGCCAGCTTTGGCCAAAAAACAGCACGCCTCTCTTGCCCTACGCACCTTACTCACCTGACCTTGCTCCGTGAGACTTCATTTGTTTCCGCAAATGATGAGGGACATGAAAGGACAGATTTGGCAACATAGAAGAGAAAGAAGGAAAAATGAGAGAGGTGCCGTCAGCCATCCAAACAGATGAGTTTGAAAAATGTTTCAAAAAATGGAATCGCGGATTTGACAAATGTATTAAGTCTAATGAAGAATACTTTGAAGGTGATAAGGTTATTTTATAAAAAAATATGTAAATACATAGCTTAGGGACCGGAGGAATTTTTGGGTCCTCCCTTGAAAAATATGTATCACTAAAATGACAATGCTGAAGCCATGAAACACCTCATGACGGGTAAATCTGAAGAAGATTGTGCCGAGTTTAGTTTATCAATCACAAAAGGACATATATTGTATGAGACCACAACTATAAGGATTAAAAACTACATTAAGGACTTGCAGATGAAAGGGAACAGGCTTTGGAGGTTCCCAAGGAGATGGGGCAAGGGTGGGAAGATGAAGCAGTGAACTAGATAGATACTGAATTGGGTAAAAGAGTAGATGGGGAACCATAAAAGGGAGATGAGAAATCAGGGGTTGAGGGTTGGGATATAATGAGGGGGACGGGTGTTGATAAGGGATTTGAACTATTGAATGCAGAGTTGATGGTCCGAAATGTATTTCCATCTAATTCACAATAAAAAAATACATTGAAAAATAGGGAATTACTTTAACAATTAAATCTTGGTATAAACAAGTACGCTTTTGATTATATTTAGCAATTTCTAAAGTTGAAGATATATATCTTGATAAGTAATTATATTAAAATTTTAACTCTATTAAAGTATAAAAGTTACTTTTTCCTCAAAGTATAAAGCTTCATCTTTATATTCTTATAGATAATGGTAAAAAGAAAATGAAAAAGCTAAGAATAAAAAGGAGTAACCGGGTAGAACCAGTCAATACAGATGATTCTGTTCCTAAGAGTGTGACTCCACCCCCACCCCCTCCTCCTGGTAAGTAAATTAGCATTGATATTGAATTTTAAAATACTGTTTAAACAATGGAGTATCAAGACAAAGAAGCAAAATTGTTTAATTTTTATTTAGTATTCTTCTTACATAATGAATTTTGGGAAAGGTAAAAATTCTTCATTCTGTCTACTTTATTCAAAAGTTATAAACATGCGTATCTATTGCTTTTGTATAACTCTGCATTAAAGAGTTTTATTAAAACAAAGATTAATACAAACTGATAAGAAAACTTTTCCCAAGCACTTCCTAGAATTGTATTCACATTCTGTGTGAAAGACCAACAACATCCAGATTGCTCAAAGAAATTACATTTGATGGATGGATGGCAAATAAAACTTTTTTTTTTAATGTTTCTGTCATTAGGAAACCAAGATTTAAAAAAAAAAAAATTTAACATTTCCATTAGCACTCCATCAACTTGTCATACAATATTTCCAACATAATTAAATTGGTGTGAGGATAAATAGAATAATGCCTGTAGAGTGGAGACATTTTAACTTCACAATAATTGTGAGTTCTTTATTCCAACACAGACCATCATTACTTCACATATTACTAGTGAGATAGTATCAGAAAATATTATATAAATCATCACATAAATATCTGATGACAGAATGAAGTGATGTCATTTTAGCTTTTCAAATGCTTTTAGCTTATGACTGCATAAGGTGGTAAAATTTCTAAGAATTTTTTTAGAATCATTTATAGTATTCTGTTGGTAGGATTTAGAATGGTAATGAGGATTATTCATTTTTCTTACATATGAATTAAATCCTGATGTAGGTGTTGGCAGTCTGTAGTCATGTTCTTCAATACAAGACATTGAAAATGAGTTTATTATGGCTGTTCATTCAGTGTACTTGAATTCATATTCAATGCTGTTTACACACCTTACTGAGGGAGGGATCCCCTCACGTGACATACAACTTTGTGTACACTGTTTTATATATGTGTGTTTGTTTGTTTTCCCTTTAGTTGGCTGGGGAACCCCCAAAGTCACTAGACTTCCAAAACTTGAGCCTCTTGGTGAAACACGTCATAATGGTAATGCAAAAGCATTAGTTTTCAGATATCATCTGTATGTACATGTGTACATCTACTTTTCTTTACCTCATAACTTTAACTTACATTTTATTTTTTGTAAGCTTTGCAAGATCTCAAAGCCTTATTATACTTAATTTGATAAAATTTATTTCATTTTTCCCAAAACTCATGTTTCCATATAATTTGATTTGATGTTTATCTTAAATAAGTAGAATTAATCATAGCTTCTGTTTATATATTTATGGTGATAATTAATAAAAAGGGAAAATGTTTTAAGCAACTATGCAACATTACAATTTTAGTGTAAATAACTAGTGTCTGATAAATTCTAAATGTACTCTAATGATTTCATATAATTGATTTCCCTCTGTTTCTAGTAAGATACTCAGATATTGAATATTAAAATGAAGCAAAAATAAAGAAAATTAGTTGGCTCAGATATCAAATCAGTAAACCAAATAAAGTTCATCTAAATAAAAGTGACTAGAAACAAAGTGAGTAAACGCTTACTTGACTAAGGAAGCACGTTTTATTTTTAATTTTTTTTTAATGAAAATAACATTAGCCTTAGTCCAGCCAGTATAATTATCACTTGTTTCTCAAGAAAGTCCAGTTGTCTTTGTGATCAACTCTGTGTTTAGCTAATCTAGAATGTATTTCCTAAGGAGATTTACTTAGTAGATTAAAAAAATCAAGTTTAATCTTTAGATTATTTGAAGTTATACCAAACTTCATAGAATTAAATTATTCAAAAATGCATACATATTGATGTGCAGTTTGCCTTCTTTTTAACAATACTGTAAGCCAGTGATGAAATAGTTCTTCTTAGTCCTTAGTGAAATAAAAGATTTTTTTCCCTTCCTGAAGATAAGTTCTTAGACTATTCCAGAATTTATTAAATGTTTTTTCCAATGAAATGCCAATTTTCTGTTTTGCTTACAGTTTTTACATCATGATATTGCTATTGAATATTCTAAGTATAGTTGCACATGTTAGAATAAATGTCAGCTCAATTATTTATGAAAAATTAGATGTTAATGTGTATGTACCCATGTATAATCCAATGGATTTTCTTTTTTTTCTCTTACTGAATTAAGGATTTAACAAGCAACTGTTTTGTTTTGAATACCAGTTAAAACACTAGTAATTCTAAGATGAACAAAGCATGCATTCTGTCTTCCTGGAGAGCCTAGTTGAATAGAGGAAACCATAACTCATCTTACAGTAACTCAATATACATGACAATTCACAACATAACAGTCATAAACTCTGCAGTGTAGAGTTTAAGTATTGTGCATAAACCACATGGGTGATTTGGGAAATTGCAGAAGAACTAGGTCTTGAACGATTGAGATTAGGTAGTAAGCAGAAGAAACATTGTTCAAAGTAAGAGAGAGGGAAAGAGGTTATTTGTAGAATAACCTGAAGTTATTCATGATGGGTTATGCTCATGTGAGGCAAGTGGGTAAGGAAAAAGCATTTTTAAGTTATAGAGAGCTTAATTATAGAGATTGTGAAAGGCTTGGCATGTACTGCTACATTAAGATATTTGAACTTGCTGTAAGTTTGAAGGACATCCTCTTTTTTATCTGGGAAGTTGTACTATTTGATTTAATTAGGAAAATACCTTGAGTCATAATTTAAAATACAAAGTGGATAGTGGCCACACCCAAGGTAAATGAGATATTCCACTTCTGCGGCTGCTGTTACTGTTTTTAGAATAACATAGATACTATAGAATCAGTTCAACCCTGCCGGTCCTATGCTATCCTCATAATTGTTCTTATATTCTGTTACAATAATCAAAATGAGAAATGATGATTGAACATTAGAACTATTCAAAAACGTTTTAACAACTCTAGTAAATAAGATTTAATGAAAGGACATGTAGCTTTGGTGGGAAAGAAAAGCAGGATAATTCGGCATATAGGACTAGGCGGTTGATACTATCTCTAAGAATGAAAATTCGTGAGGAGGAGGAAACATGTCCTGGAGAGACATACATAGTTGTGTGTGTAGGTTTGTCTGTTTGGAAATGTATGTTGATGATGTTAAGAGTCTGGAGTTTAGAAGAAATGAGAAAAATGCCACCTCGGTGACTGGGAGGGTATGGAGAAATTGTGGGATGTACACTTTGCTGTTTCTGAGGGAAAGAATGCAAACTAAGAATAAATGAACTGGTGGGAGCTCCCAGGAATGCATCCTAGTAAAGGGGCACATGGGAAAGAGGTTGACAGTGGGCTGAGAAGACTATGGATTACTTTCTTGTTATTGTTTGCTTTTCTGTGTTTGTGCTTTAAATTGGGGCTCCTGAGAAGTTATTTTAATACAGTATTTTAGTTAAAATCCAACTTCACTACTTTTTTTCCAGTTAATTTCCAATGTGTATAATAATTATTTTCTTACCCAGGCAGCAAGGACAACACCCTACATGCACAAGTTTCAAATATCTGTATTTTAGCCCTATATATGTAACTTGTGTTTCACAAAATATAAGTCAGGTTTTTTTTATAGTTTTATTGGGGGCTCTAAGAGCTCATAAAAATCCATACATCAATTATATCAAGCACATTATACATATGTTGCCATCGTCATTTTCAAAACATTTTCTTTCTACTTAGTCCTTGGTACCAGCTCCTCTTTTTTTCCCTCCCTCCCCACCCTCACACCCTCGTGACCCCTTGATAAATGATTATTATTGTCATATCTTACACTGTCCCCTGTCTCCCTTCTCCCACGTTTCTGTGGTTCGTCCCCTTCCGTGGGGGTGGGGGGTGGGGTTGGATTATAAGTCAGTCACTGCATTCATCTCGACTTTGCTTTCAATAATGAGGAAGGAAACAGGATTTTTGTTTTGTTTTTAATTAATAAACCTACATTATTGTGTTCAGTCTTTTCACACTTACATAGACTCAGTCTCTTCTTTCCTCATAATTTGTCCTTTTTCTCTCATAAACAAGCATCTTGACAAAAGGTTAAGTTTAGAAGACAACAGGTACATGAACTAGAGTAGATAATTACAAATTAACTACAATTGTTTTAGCACTTAAAATTTAATGAGAACTTTGCTGTGGTTGAATTGGAAATTTTAATAGTAAAATTTTTCAGTAGGATAGGTAAGACATAATGTCAGAGAATATACTTAAAGAATCCATGTTTACTTTAACACTCTCAATCCATTACTTTATCCACCTGTCAGAGGTCTTCTTCTAAGACAGATTAGTTTGTTCTTTGGACTGTCCACGGCACTTTCAATACTCCCTGCCAACAGTTTAATTCAAATGCATTCTTCTGTCTTCCTTATTCAGCTTGCAACTTTCACATGCCTACGAGGCCATTGAAAATATGGGACAGGCATACCTTAGTCCTGTGAAAGTAACGTCTTAGCTTTTTAACACATTAAAGAAGTCCTTTGCAGCAGATTTCCCCAATCCAGTATGTCATTTGATCTCTTGACTCCTGCTTCCATGAGCATTGATTGTGAATCTGAACTCTGATGTACGTAGCTTTCTGATTTTAAACCAAATATTACCCTGTTCTGTAAATACAACTGCCTCTTGATCTATGTACAGATTCTACATGAGCACAATGTAGTGTCTGGAATTCCTGTTCTTCTGGAGTCTACCCAAACTTTGTTTTGAACCACACTGTTGAATGCCTTTTCATAGTGATAAACGTAAGATTTCTGGTATTCTCCTCTTTCAGCCAAGGCCCATATGATGTCACCAATGAAACCCTTTGTTCCACATCCTCTTCTCACTACAGCTTCGGTTTTCAGCAGCTCCCTGTCAATGTGCTTCTTCAACAGTTATCGAGTGAACTTCAGCAAAATGTTACTTACATGTGATATCAATGATGTTGTTCTTGATAGATGCCTTCTAGTCAGTCCTGACTCATGGTAACCTTATGCTCAACAGAACTAAACACTGCCCGGTCCCACACAATCCTCACAATTGTTCCGATACTTGCATCCATTATTGCAGCCACTGTGTCCGTTTACCTGGTTGAGGGCCTTCCTCTTTTTCGCTGCCCCCGTACTTCACCAAACATGATGTCTTTCTCCAGGGACGCGTCTCTTCTGACAACGTGTCCAAAGTATGCAAGACGAAGTCTCACCATCCTTGTCTCTAAGGAGCACTCTGGCCATACTTCTTCCAAGACAGATGCGTTTGTCCTTTTAGCAGTTTATGCTACTTTAAATATTCTTCTCCAGCACCACAGTTTAAGTGCATTCATTCTTTTTCTGTGCCCTTTACCAGTGTCCAACTTTCACAGGTAGATATCAATGATATTATTCTGCAATTTGAGCATTCTGTTGAGTCACCTTTCTTTAGAATGGGTTCAAATACAGATCTCGTTCAGATAGTTGAGGTCTTAGCATAGATGAATGAGCGAGTGCTCCCGGTGTTTTATCAGCTTATTGAACCATTTCACTTGAGATTCCTGGAGCCTTGTTTTTGGCCAATGGCTTCAGTGCAGCCTGGAGTTCTTCCTTTTAATACCATTGATCACGTGCTTCTTTTTTTTTTTTTTAATTGACCTGCTCCACCCCATCCCCCATCCCCGCCCCTCCCCGCCTAATGTGCTTCTTCTTGAGGTAGTTGAATGTTGACTATTTCTTCCTGGGAAAGTGACTCTGTGTATTCGTTCCATCTTCTTTTGATGCTTTGTGTATTGCTTAATATTGTGCCCATAGAACTTTTCAATATTGCAACTCTAGGCTTGGAATTTTTTCTTGAGTTCTTTCTGTTTTAAGACATGCTGGGGCAGGTTCTTCCTTCTTGGGTTTCTAAATCAAATCTTTACACATTTCGTTATAACACTTTACTGTGTGTTCTCGACCTAAGCTTCGAATGTTTCTTTTATTTCATCATTTCTTTTGTTCTCATTAGCTATTCTATTTTGAAGAACAAGTATCATAGTCTCTTTGTGTGTTAGTCCAGATGGACTAGAGAAACAAATCCAAACTCATGTGTATAAGAAAAAGCTTTATATACAAGAGCAATTGAATATTGAGAAATTATCACAGCCCAGCCCAGATCAAGTCCATAAGCCTAGTGTTCACCCATATGTCCGATACTAATCTATAAATTCCTCTTCAGACTCACGAAACACATGCAATGATGCCGAATGCAGGACAATCACAGGTCAGTGGGTGGAAAGTATTGTGGGTCCAGTAGCAGGGTAAGCATCTCAGCACTGGCAAGGGTCTCCAAGTGGCTTCTCCAGCTCTAAGACTCTGGCTGTCATCAGCCTGTCTCCATGTGCCTTGTCAACAAGAATGTCTCACAGGGACTGAGCCTGTGTCCTGCCTCCCACGAGCTATTTATCTCCTTAGCACCTCCAAATGAGGTCATCAAGCTACAACCTGATTGACAGGCTAAATTCCACCCCTTCACTCTTAAGCCTCTCAAATTAACAACAGATTATATAACTAACTGTGTTAGTCCTGGTAGACTAGAGAAACAAATCCAGGGAGACACTCATATGGGTATAGGAAAGAGCTTTATATACAAGTGCAATTGAATATTGAGAAAACATCCCAGCCCAGTCCAGATCAAGTCCATAAGTCTGATATTAGCCCATATGTCCGATACCATCTATAAAGCCCTCTTCAGACTCACAAAACACATACAGTGATGCCGAGTGCAGGAAGGTGACAGACCAGTGGGTAGGGAGTCTTGTGGATCTAGTGGTATTGTAGGCATCTCAGCGCTGGCAGGGGTCTCTCTGTGGCTTCTCTGGCTCCAGAGGTCTAGCTCCATCAGCCTCTCTCCATGTGTCTTCTCCACAAGGATGTCTCAGAGGGAGTCAGCATGTGTCCCACCTCCAGCATCCTATTTATTGCCTTAGCGCCTCCAAATGAGGTCATTAACTACTAGTTGGTTGACAGGCCAGACTCCACCCCTTCACTCTGATTCCTTAAATCAACACCAGATTATGTAACTACCACACTCTGATATCCACTTTGATTCTTTTCTTTCTCACCTGTCTTTTTTTTTTTTTAATCATTTTATTGGGGGCTCATACAACTCATCACAATCCCTCCATCCATCCATTGTGTCAAGCACATTTGTACATTTGTTGGTATCATTATTCTCTAAACATTTTCTTTCTACTTGAGCCCTGGGTATCAGCTCCTCATTTTTTTAATAAAATAATTTTATTGGGGGCTCATCCAAATCCATACATCCATCCATTGTGTCAAGCACATTTTTATATTTGTTGCCCTCATGAGCCTCAGAACATTTGCTTTCTACTTGAGCCCTTGGTATCACCTTCTCATTTTTCCTCTCCCTCCCCGCCGCCCCCTCTCATGAACCCTTGATAATTTATAAATTATTATTATTTTGTCATATCTTACACTGTCCAATGTCTCCCTTGACCCACTTTTCTGTTGTTCCCTCCCCCCCCAGGGAGGAGGTTATATGTAGATCCTTGTAATCGGTTGCCCCTTTCCACCCCACCCTCCCTCCACCCTCCCAGTACCACCACTCTCACCACTGGTCCTGAAGGGATCATCTGTCTCTTTTTAATGACCATTTGCTTTCTTCATATATGAAGTTCTTGATTTCATCCCAGAGCTCATTAAGTCTTCTGTGTGTTCAGTACATCAAATCTATTTGCAAGTTGTTCTTGGAATTCAAGTGCAATGCACTCAAGGTCGTCCACTCTTGTGGACATATTTCAATTTTCTTCATCCTGAACTTACATAATGAACAATTGATGCTCTGTTTTATAGTCAGCCTCTGGCCTTGTTTTAACAGCTACTATTCAGCATCTTTGTTGTTTTTTCCCACAAATTTATTGATTTTGATTTCTGTGAGTATTTCCTCAGGAGAAGTCAATGTGTTCATTCAACATTTGTGTGGTTGAAAAAAAAGTATTTTTGATAAAGAAGCCTTTGGTCTTGCAAAATCCAGTCCTGTGATTGCCAGCTTAATTTCAATCACTGAGACCAAATATTTTCCAACTACTATTCCTTTTTCTTTTATTCCAACTTTTGCAACCCACGTCATTATGGTCAACTCTATTTGAAGAAGGTAGCTCTTTCTTCGTTATATTTTCAATGCCTTCTGATCTGCGGGGCTCATCTTTTGGCCCCATATCAGACAATATTCTGTTTGTATTCAGGAGGGATTCCATATCTGACATTGTTTTTATGCTACTCATAAGATTTCCAGTGGCTCATTCTTCAGAAGTAGACAGTCTATTCCTTCTTCATAGTCTGCAAACTGCTGAAAGTTGTTCGCTGTGGGTGACCCTGCTGGTATTTGCAACATCAGTGACATAGCTTCCAGCATCACAATAACAAGCAAGCCAGGACAGTACAACAAACTGAGAAGTGATAGATGGGATCGCTGTAGGTATCATATATCATGAGAAACAACCAAAGATTCTGTTAGTCATAAAACCAAGCCAAGGAATATTTTCAAATCTTGACTTGCTGCTCTTGTTTTATATTCTAAAATAGTTTTTAAACCCCTTTATCAAAATGTGTATTGACACTTCAGTTTAGCATTCAAGTTGACTTACATACAATACAATCGAGGAAATAAGAAGTCTACTTTGTTGTTTCAAAATATTTTTATTTTCTGAAAAAATACAAAAGCATTTCAAGAAATTATTTCTGTAACAGAGAAAAAAGGTACTTATTCACAAGTGTTTGAATTTATATTTTAAAAGGGTATTTTTAAATTCTAGAAGTCAAATAGTAAGGAAAAAAATTATGTTGACTGGAGATTTGCTTGTGTGTACTTGGAGCCTGCCATAGCTTTGGACAGCTTACACAGTATCAGCAGTGCAAAGCCACCATTCACTCAGCAAAAGAAAGCTGAAACTCTGCTCCCCACAGATGTACAGTCTCCAAAGCCCTGTAGAAGGTCACTGTGAGGCAGAACTGGCTTGCATGCAGTGGATTTGTGTATAGTGGATTAAAACTTTGAAGTTAACAAATTAGAAAAATACACTTCAAATATATTAAAATAATTATTTCTACTATAACTTAAATAATAATAATTGCAAGCCATTCCCCAAACATACAACTAAATATTCATGTACTTTATTTCATTTTAATTCTTCAGTACTCTTAGGAGAATAGGAGATAATATCCCTACTTTGTGTATGAGGAACTTAAATTCTAAGGTCATATACTTTATAAGATATAGGACCAGAATTTGAATTTTGGTCTGTCCAGCTTTAAAACCTCTGGCCATTAGCCTACTATTATACTATTACATTAAAATATACTGAAGTGTACTTGTAGTTTAATAGTTACTTTTAAGTTTATAATTGTTGAAAAATATTTTCCTCTAGTACATTTTTAATATATATATTTCAAGTGACTAAACAACTATGTTCTAGATTGTTTAAGATAATAGTCCATAAAGCTTACCTACCAAAAACTAGCATAAAACTCAAACACTTACTCCCATCAAGTCAATTCTGACTCACAGTGACGGTATAGGATGGAGTAGAACTTCCTCTGGGTTTTGGAGATGTAACTCTTTACTGGGAGTAGAAAGGCTCAGGTTTGTTTTAGGGAGTAGCTGATTTACAACTGCTGTCTGTGCGGTTAGCAACCTGATGTGTAACATACCACACTACCATTTATAAGCTGATGTATGGTGATTACGGAATTAGACTTGATTATGAAGTATAAAATAAGGACTTCTCTATTTGAAATAATATCAAATGTGCCCCAAATCATGAAAGCACATTGAGGCATCATGAAAAGATTCCTAATTATAAGAATAATGGAATTCACTATTGCTTCTCCCAAGTAATCTTGAGAGAGTAACAGGCATTGAATAAAAACAAAAATTGTACAAATACTGATTTTTCAGAACTTTAGTAGCAGCAGCCTCTGTAGATTTAGCTATTATTTATTCTGTTCTAATGTGAATTGGAAAATAATTTAACACTAAATATATCTATTTGGGAAAACTTTTTATTAAATTAGGTAGCAATTGATTTCTAATATAGTGTTAGAAACTTAATGGTAGTGCTTTGAATTTAATCAAATGTTCAATTCTTACATTTTTTTCTCCTATTCTCTCCACCCATCCCTTCACAGCCAAGTCATAATGTCTTACTTCTTTAAAAGGTGTTGATTGGTAAATAATGATCATTATTTGTCCTACGTTTTGCATGCTGTTTCCCTTCTATAGTTATTATCATTTTGTGTGCTGCTTCCCTTCTCTTCACATTTCTCAGAACTTTTGCTTGTGTCCCTTCTATTTGTAGATTTCTATGGGAAGCCACTGCCTCCTCTGGTTGTGCGGCAGAGACCCAACAGTGACGCCCATGACGTGATCTCGTAACCACGTTCCTGAGGATGACTTCCTTTACACGGACACAACGAAAGGGCGGAGGTGCTTCTTTTTCTAAGAAGAAAAATCCTCACTGTTGAAGACTCGCAAGACAACCATAGCCATTCCACTGGAGAGCTTCTCCGGAACACACCTCAATGATCCGAAAATTACTTATCCATATTCTTCATGGTTAAAAAAAAAGAAAGTAAAGTAAACCGTGTAAATGATAGGCATTTGGACCACATTAGCACAGTAGAGAATTGACTCTGATTTATACGTGCCCATTCATGGTTATATTCCTTAAGCAAAATCTCTTCAGAAAAGAAGCCACTTTCTTTACTATTTGTTCAATAGTCTCTATTTCTATATATTAGATTTTTTTGTAAGATACATGTGCATGTAAGGAAACTCTTGGAAATTTATATCTTAAATTTTTTAATTATTTTTTTATTTTTCTAAAAATTTTAATTACTATGATATTGTGTACTTTTCTATAGATGCTTTTTTTAAAGTTATGGCTGAAAAGTAGACGTGGTTTATTTTATAGCTGTTATCTATACAAACAGAATATATTTATGGCTCATAGTAATGCTCTTGAAGTATGCTTCTTAATTTGATATAATTTTTAAATATTCGTTTTTTTAAAATAGCATAATTTTTTTTTCAATTTGAAAGCCCTACGCAAGGATATAGTTCAGGATTTTTTGGTGGTAAAATTGTTTTCTCTGGTTTAAATTAATGAAAGAAATTTTAAATGCCTTTTTGACCTAGCAGTTTTTAAATTATTAAAAATTTCATAGAATATTAATAAGAATCGCAGTAAGCACCTGTTTTAAATTCAGAGATCAAAATACTCATGTCACCATCTTGTTCTTTCAGAAGCTGGACAAACACCTCTAGGTTATCCTAATGCTGTCTTAAAGATAAGAAATAAGACCGAAAGAGCTTCTGTAAGTTCAGGGACTTCTGCTTTCCAACTGAGAAATTGCTTGGGTACTGAAGCAAGAAGAACAAAAATACTAGCTCAAACATTACTTTTATATAGAGATGATTAACAAAATATTTTATTGATTTAAAACAATAACAGCTCTCTTGCACTTAAGAATGGAATCTATATGATGTTTTATTTTTGGGGCATATAGGCAAAACTATACACACACACTTATATTAAGTAATGTGTGCATAATATTGCCTTTAAATAAGTGCACATATTTTTGTTAAGCTAAAAATCTTGTGAAGAAAATGACTTCTATATCACCTTGTTAAAATTCCTGAGCTTGTTCACTAATACTAACAATTATATACTGGTATTTGAAAATATTAACAAGTACTAACAAAGCAGTCTCATAGATTACTTACTTATTATTGAACTTTTATTAATCATTTCACTTTGAACTTTAGTCACCATTACATGTAGCTTTATCAGCTTTTGTACATGAGATCCATATAGCCCAGAGTAAGGGGATTGAAAGCGTGCTCTGTCAGATGTGAAAGTCATAACAATCTAAATTTTCTAGGGAGCTGTAACGTGAGGGAAAATAATACAAAAAGAGAATAAATAAATTTCTTAATGGATTTTAGGGGGGAGGAAATTCAGTTGTGCGTCTTTTTTGGTTCCTTTGTAACATATTTATTCATTTAAGAAATAAAATTCATATTTTTTCCATATTTTTAAATTCATCTAAATTGAGAGTAAGTGTAACACTAAAATTCATTTGTTTCCTACCTCTGATTAGTCTAATGTATGGTAATTACTATAAGTCCATTTCATAAAAATATAACAATGATTTTGAAATTATATGTATAGGCAAAATTAATACGTTTTTAATATATTATATAATTATTTTGTATCCATAAAGCATTTTAAAAAATACTTTTAAACGTGTTTTATAAATCCAGTTGGGTTTTAACAGATGTCTTTATTGTTATGTGCTGCAGCGTCATTCTGACTGAACGTGAACTGTAACATTTTCACACAATAAAGATAATTTGTTAGTATGGTATTTCCCTTTTTATTTAATGAACCTAAGTGTTTTCCTTTGCATAATATAGTAGGTAAGAATTTTGGAATTAAAACAAAGCACTGCCATTGAGTTTTTCAAACTTTATATCTTTACAAGAGTAGATAGCTTCATCTTTCTCCCATGAAGCAGCTGGTGGTTTTGAACCACTGAGCTTGTGGTTAGCAGCTCAAATGTCTAACCCACTATGCCACCAGAGCTCCTTTGATTTTTGAAACAAGGTTAATGAAATGCATTGTTAAATCAGTAAACTATAAAATAGTGCATTTTCTATTATCTTGGTGGACAAACTTTCCCCCTCTGAGCATCTTTTTATATATATTGGGGAAAATGTCACTTTAAAGGTAGGAAAAGGTGCATTTTTATTCTACATGATAAAAGGTGTCTATCACCTTTTTATTCTAGATGATAAAATGTCCATCTTTTAAGTTAAAATATTTTAAATTAAGAATATTATATACCATTAAGTTTAAGATATGCAAACACATAAAAACATATTTACATAGTCTTGTATGTAATGGATTACAAGTTTAAAACTGCCTAAAACAACAGTACTAAAAAGAATTGCAAAATGTTAGTAGTAACTTTTTTAAAAGTTATTGATAAAATTTCAAATTATTTTCCAAATGTATCTTTAATAGTGGTGGAGGAAGCAAACTTACAAATTTGCAAAGAATTATTTTACTATGTTTTGTGTAGCTTAAAAACTTGTTCTGCAGATGACGGGGGTGGGGGGAGTAGAGACTGGAGCACATCCTGGCCCACTAGGCCAAATAGAGCAGCCAGTCCACAGAGAGGACCACATGGCCAGCCCCACTATGAGACGAGATGCCC